AATGCGTAGGCTACGCGGTCGCTGGCCATGGGCAGTTGAGAAGGGGTTTGAAGAGTATGGCGATGTCGTACGGATCGCACCCAATGAGATCGCCATATTTGGGTACAAGCCGATAGTTGGTAAGTTTGTATTCTGTGAACATTTTTGCATCTATCAGACGCTCACAGGATATCCTTCATCCTAGACGTCTTGTTGCCTGGAAAAACGGACGATGCGCAGGCTTTCTTGAAGACCGAAGAGCTTGGAGCTCTTGCAGGAAAGCATAAGGGTTTTGCTGCTGATACAGATCCAAAAATCCATCGTTATGTCAGAAAGGCCATGGAACCAAGCTTCAATATGAATGCGATCAAGCGATGGCAAGAACCTGTCTTGCATAAGCATTACGACCGATTCATTCGGAAGGTCGATGAGGCTTGCCGAAGGGGTCCTATCAACTTGACGGAGGTAAGTGGCAATACATCAGTGCAGGGGGATGCATTTGAGGTTAGGTCAAACTCAGGCTGACCTTCCAGTGGAATGAGTGGCTAAGCATGGATCTTGCCGGTGACTTGACATTTGGACATGACTACGGCAACATAGAAAAGGGTGAGTTATGGAAATCAAAGATGACAGGCAATTTCTAATCACTGAACAATCGAACTATAATAGGTAAAGCCGGAGAGTTCCTTGAGACATTTTCAAAGTTGAGCTTCTGGGGCACCGTGAACCAGGTCTCTACACGCTTCCCCCTTCTTTACCCGTTCGTGCTGCTTGCCTTAAGTCCTAGCTTAGCGACAGTGGCGCCGAAACTCCAGCGCATCAACAGTAAGTATATCAACGATCGAATCCGCCTCAGAGATTCCCTCGAACACGAAGACTTCATGTCATCTCTTATTAAAGAGGGTGGAGAACCGCCCGAAGTCGACTTTCTTGTTGCACAGAGCATGAACGTGGTCATAGGCAACGCCGAAGCCACTTCCAACATGTTCACGGTGTCAGTACATTTTCTCGGCATACATCAAGACAAACTCGAAAAGCTAAAGATGAATATTCGGGATCGATTCACTTCCTACGAGGACATCAAATCCGACAATGTGCAGAATATTGTATGGCTCAATGCTGTCATCAACGAGGGTCTTCGACTAGCCACTCAGGGCACTTCCGGTTTACCTCGCATCAGCCCTGGCGGTTTCGTTGATGGCCACTACATTCCGAAAGGGGTAATATTGAGACCTTGGCATCTAGTTGTGTAGAGCAATTTCCGCTAACCCTCATCTGCATTTAGTACCGCGTTCAAACTAGCTTCTGGGCAGTCTTCCACTCGGAGCGTTACTTTGCGAAACCACGAGAATTTCACCCGGAGAGATGGCTTCCGAGAGATCATCCAGATTATGGAAAAGAATTTGAAAATGACAAGCTTTCTGTTTTCCAGCCTTTCAGTATCGGCACCCGAGGCTGCATAGGTCGTAAGACGGGGCTCTTGCAGGCGCAGCTGATGATCTCCAAGATGGTGTGGGCCTTGGACTGGGAGCACGTCAATCAAGGCGAGATGGACTGGGAACGAGATCTAAGAAGATACGCTATGAACCAATTGCCCCAGGTCGTTGTCCGTTTCCACAAGAGATCTACATAGTTACGAATCGAAGTGTGTTTTTACAAGAGAGTAACAAATCTTGTTGTTGTAATCATCGTAGATATGCTTTCATGCATAAGTACTCATACGTGCCTCCTGGAGTCTAGATTGAGATTCCACTGGAGCTTGCAAAGTTCATTTAAGTCCTTAAAACAAATCGTACGGATAACCACTAACATCATAGCGGTGTGGAGAGAAATTGAGCCAAAGCCTTCCTGAATATTGAATACGTAGCAAATTGAGACAACGTGAACCCAACTTCTCGGCAAAATGTGTCCTCATTCACCTTGCAACTGTTCTAAACAGCCTCTAGGTAGTTCTTCCATGGTGCCATCTCTCAACCTAGCTTCAGGCGGAGGCACGGTCAAACATATCCTCCAGTCTTCTGTATCTATGTGCCCTTCTTCAATGCGTCTTATCATTCTTTGTGCTACTGCTTTGCTCTCCTATTCGGCAAGTCCTCGGAGGAAGCGGTGTTTGGCATAGAGACTGGTTATCCATCTTCTGTTCAACTTTCCAAAGATGTCTGTTGAGATTGACTATTAGAATCTTCATAAGACCCGGGAAAAGCCTGTTGCTACTCACACATAGGAATGCAGGTGGTTAAAAGCCCGAGGGAGACAGTTCCTAGGACCATAAAGACAGTCCCAGGCCCGGCTTCAGTAGTCCACGTATTGATGAATGTGGAAAAAGAATAAAACAAGAAGTTCTTAAGCATCATCTGTACAATGAAAATCTCGCTGGATCGTTGTGGGAATGTGTCCCTAACACCCTGCCGTTAGCTTGATATTCCCGCAATCTTCCAAGATAAAGATGACTCTCACAAGATATAAAGCCCAGCAGAAGTCGAGGGAACCGAAATACTAAAAGCCATACAGCCTAAGCAGAAAGCCCCTAGGAAGTACCCGTTCGTAGAGGGGTGATCGACCACCCACATGAGCAGGAACCAACCGAGCCCACTCAGGGCGGCACCAAGTATGTTGACAGGGATTCGGAATTCTGCCTCATAGACGCCGCCATTCCATTTCGACATGATCATCGCAGACCAGTCGCAGAGTGAGCCAACAGGAATGGCAAACAAACCGCCAATCAGTGCGCCAGCCCAGAAAAAGCCATTTTGCTCAATGTTGAGGTTGTAAGGTGGCATCGACCAGATCTGAGATAGAATGTAGCTGGATGCTACAAAGCAAGCATTGAGAACCGCACTGACGGTCAGAATCCAAAGCACAGCTGGGTTAATGAAGTTGACGAAGAGTTCAGCTAGCAAGCGAATGATGTTCTTATCTGTGTACGTCTGTCGAGACCATGGTGATAGCATCTGCGCCAAAGTCTTCTTTGGGACGGTGACCACACCAGTCTCGGCGATGGTGTTCTTGGCTGCTGTGACGTCGATGTCGAGATGCCTTTTGACGGCCATAGTCTCCGCGTCGCTGTTGGATTGAGAACTTGAAGCTATGTCTTGCTGGGTAACAGCTGGTCGTTTGAACTGCATTTCAGGGAGCAAAGCAACTGTCATGATGAGCCCCGCGAGGTTGAATGGCAGTTCGGCGATGAACAGGACATTGTAACCAAGGCGCTCTGCCATGACTCCGCTGACGATTGATGTCATCGAAACGGTGCAAGCTGACGAGGCGACCATCATGGCGATCCTCCAGCCGCGCTCATGAAGATAGAATAAATCCCCAATTGCCGCAAGCGCTAAACTCTCCCAAGCGGTAGCACCCAGTCCTTGAATCATACGACCAGCGAATATTGTGTCATACTGGAACCTCTGAGACCCTGCTATACAAACTGCGGTGCCGAGGGTTCCGGTAACGGCGGCGAAGAGAAACTGCGGGCGTTTTCCATACTTCTGTGCAAGGATCGAAACCAAGGGCCTGTGGCAAAGCGCATATTAAAAACAAGGCTCAGGCAAAGAAAAGGCTTTTAGTAGGAACCAGGGACAACGAACCCTATAGCCGCAACAACGAGGAGATGGTAACCAGACAACTCAGCAACTTTTGTGATGCTTACGCCAAGGATGGGGGCAAGGGCAAACGTGGCCGGGCTAAGCATGGGACCAGGAAGCGAAGCGAAGATGATGGTGTTGAAAAAGATAACCCAAAAAGCGGCTTCCTTCTGCCAGTTGTTCCAGAGCTTCCCGCGTCATGTGCGTCAGAGAAATCATATCCTTTACGTTGAAGAATTTGACTCACCAATGGGTCATTTGGATCGTTCAAGGATGGTTGAGGGACCAAGACCGTGTCAACTCCCTACCCGGATGTCAATATGATGTTTGGGACGATCATGGAGATTACTCATGGTATTACCATGTAAATAGTTCTTTTGAGAATGCTACCCCGGCTTGGGGTGTCGTGGTCTGAATCATTTGTACTAGATGTTCTGACAAGATGAACGGTCCCTGTAAGAACTGCATCCTTTCCAAGTTTCGCGTCAATAATACCAAGAGGCATATTTGGATGTGTCTTGTTAATTTGTTGGTGCTCGGCTGAGCTCTACGACATCAGAAGCTTTAGCAATTGATGGCGCCTATTATGTTTTTAATGACGAGCGATATCTCGAAAGGTGGAGATCTCAAAGTTTCATCGTGCAAACAGCCTCTTACGGCGTCACGATGATGTCTCAAAGACTTCTCAATTTCACACTCCGAGATGATCTGTTGTCACTGAGCGGCCTCCTCCTAGGTCTGAGGTCCGCCGGTTGTATGAAGATCGAATAACAGCCATTTTGTGTACAGGGCCTGCATAAGGCCCGCAAGCTTATTGTAACATGTTTTGCAAGGCTGGCACACGCCAGCTTCAACCTATAGAACCTCAATCGCGCTGTGGAATTTCTGAAAATGAATATTTGATGTTGATAAGATGGGCAATGGAGGTCGTCCTAACTTCTTAAATGTAACCTCGCGCTTCCGCGGGCGTCCGCCGGCGCTTGTGCCAAGGCAAATGTCTCCGACTGAGCTTCGGAGGTAACCCCACCGGCCCGGACCTTAGTCGTGGGCCCGAGATTAACTCTCCGAGCCAAGTCCCAGTACCGGTTTCACACCTTTCGTACCATACGATATCTCAACATGCTACATTCAGAGATCGGCGTTGTGCCGCAGAGCCAAACAATCCGTGTGATTTGTTCGTCTCGGGGTAGTCAGATAGCAAAGCGTTCCGTGCCTATTGCTGCGAAAGTTGTGGCAGGTGCTGAATTTGGATCACTTGTGATGCTCGCCATGTACATTGGCATGGGTTGTTGGATCATACCGATCTCCAGTCTGTAGATCTTAATCCTTGCTCAAGCCTTGAAAACTGAGAACGCATTTTACGCTCGCCTGGTGCCAGAGTAAACAGTTGAATCAACATACCATTGTACACCTTTCACGAACAGAGTCCAAACCTGCAAGATGGACGCCGCAAAGAGTCAATCTACGAAGGTGGATTCTTGGTTCGTCCAAGATCTGGATGACAACACAGAGCCTTATTTGAGGCGTATTTCCACCGGAAATAACACACTCTCGGATCGTTTGCAGTTCAATATTGACGATGGACAAAGGCTTACGGACCCTATTAAGCCTGATGAAGATGAAGGCAAATACCCTGAGGGCATTACACTAGTGCTAATCATACTTGCACTGGCACTGGGTCTTTTTGAGGTAAAATCCCAACAAGCAACAGTCGCAACTGACAAAGATTCTTGAATCATGGCAAGGTGAAGACTTCTCCAGCTAATAGTTTTACTCAATGAGCTAGTTCGCTCTCGATGCCACCATCGTTGCCACTGCTATCCCCGTCATTACCACCGAATTCAAAGCCCTCGCAGATGCCGGCTGGTATGGCTCTGCATATTTGATGACGATTGCGAGTTTTCAAGTGCCATGGGGCAAGCTGTACAAGTTCTTCATTCCGAAGTGGATCTTCCTGGCAGCGCTCATCATCTTCGCCGTTGGGAGTGTACTTTGTGCCATTGCCCCCAACAGTGCCTTCCTAATTGCCGGGCGTGCGGTTCAGGGCATTGGGGCTGCTGGTTTAACTGGCGGCGTCTATGTAATCCTGGCGCTCGTCACGCCTCGCAGCAAGACGCCAATCTATCTAGGCGCATTCGGTGCCATCTTTACCGGTGCGAGTTCCCTTGGGCCTATCATCGGCGGCTTCCTCACAGAAAAGTTCTCATGGAGGTGGTGGTAAGTCCAATCAGCGTATAAAGTGCACAAAAGAGAGGAGAGCTGACAATTGCACGTCGTAGCTTTTGGATCAACATACCCTTTTCCGTTCTCGCCGGAATTATTGTTCTGTTTTTCTTCAAGATTCCAAATACTGTCAAAACCGTTAGGGCACCATGGAAGAGCATTGTGCGTCAGATGGACCTGATGGGTGTCGTTCTTATCACCGGTATCATCGCTCTATTTGTCACCGCAATGGAGTCCGGAGGCATCAAACACGAGTGGGACTCTGGCTTCGTCGTCGGTACGCTAATGGGATCGATCACTATTGCCATGCTCTTCGGGTTTGAGCAGTACTTTATGAAAGAGGACGCTCTTTTGCAAGCAAGGTTCTTGACCAATATGAAGATCGGCTTCCTTTGCGTTTTCGCATTCATGTAAGTGGACCACCAGCTCTATATATACTTGGGACTTTCTTTTGACACCTTCGTAGGCTTAGCTCGGTTGCGTACTCAATCCAGTATAATCTGCCTGTCTACTTCCAGGCAACCAAAGGGTTTACTCCCGCACAGAGTGGTGTCAACGTTCTTCCCCTGTTAATTGGTGGAGGTGAGTCATATTGCCTTTGATTCATTCTTCTTGTATGACGTCTAACATCTACATCGTAGCATTCCTCACACTATTATCCAGTGTGGCGTACTCCAAATATCGGAATGACCGGCTATATTGTGTTCTCTCTGGTGCTCTTACGGTTCTAGGCTCTACACTGATCCTCACCCTTGGCCCGGACTCTACACCAGCTCAGTACCTACTATACCAGCTCATAGTAGCCTTTGGCTATGGCTTAGGAACCCAAGTTCCAGTCCTAGCTGTCCAGGCTACGGTCGATGTGCAAGACGTGCCCCAGGCCACAAGTATTGTCCTCCGTAAGTCTTCTCTGGGGTCAACATTCAACTTGCTATAAGTATCAAAAAGTATTGTACTGATATACGGATACTCACAGTTTTCCAACTTCTCAGTGGTGCACTTGCGGTATCAGCAACTCAGAACCTCTTCAACAACGTCATGTTGCAGAATGCTGTGCGAAACGTCCCCAGTCTCACCGTTGCCCAGATCTTGGCCGCAGGATCTACGGATCTGAAAAAACTCTTCTCCGCGGACATTGCTCCTCAAATAATTGCAGCGTACACAGAAGGTCTTCGAGCATCATGGGCTATGGGCATTGGATTCGCTGGCGGTGCCTTGATTTCTGGGGTATTTGTTGGGGTTTGACTTGGCTTACATGTTTGCACGCTAAATACTCATTTAGGAGGGGAGTTTTATTTCTAACACTCTTGCTCTAAAATCGAATTGCGGTTAGAGTCACTTGGCAGAGTGTTGATCAAAACTTTGATAGAGTGTCTAAGTCAATCAGACAGAGTACACTTGTTCTTGGGATATTGCCTGTGAACATATTCCTTCTTCGAAGTTCAGGCAGAGATGCCATGTCACTGTCTGAAGAGCGCAAATTATTTGATTGTACAAGTTCATGCGAGATGAAGAGAGGCGACACCGTGGATTGATATTTTACACAACTCAACCTGAAAGCATGATACAACAAGAGATAGATGCACAAGAAGTAGTTCTTCTTATGCACCTTACTTCATCTGCTAGGACATGAGTTAACTTCAAAGTTGTGTCTGGTCTCGATTTCTTCTAGTATGCTCTCTAATTATAGCGAGGATCGCTGGCTTCGAAAAGAAGCATACACCCGACTACCTCATATCGTACCTCATTGAACATCTTCTGGAGAGGCACCAAGATACCCACTGCATCGTCCTCATGATTATCAAAGACCCCCAAATAGTTGTTCAACCACAATACAAAGTGCGCCAGCGGATTACGGTTCACACCTTTGCCCAAAATAGTAGCCCCGAACACGACCCCTCCAGGCCTCAACAAGCGACCCATGCGTCCCAAAGCCTCCGCCTTGCGTGCCGGTGGGCCAGGCAGGCAATGCAGCAAGAACATGAGAGATATAGCATCAAAACCGCCTTCCGGCAAACTATTTCCCTTCGCAAACAAACTTTTCAGCTCGTCACCTTGAGCCAGGAAGTCACCAACGACCTTCGTAGCGTTGGTGCCGACCTCCGGATGTGCCCTTTCAATGACGGGTAGAGTAACGTCCAGGCACGTCTCGTTGAGGTCGACAAGAACGTACTCGGTCCATTTAGGCAAAGGAGCTCTTGCGGGGAAGTATCCTGTGCCAACGCCAATGTCGAGGATTCGAGTGGGTGGGGGACCGCCCGGGTTGGACTTGTACGGCTCTGCGGCGCGAGCTATATTGCGGTTGAAGAAAGAGATGAGTTTCTCGGCTGAGCAATTCCAACCGTAAGGTGAAACGACACCAAAGACGAGAGTGTCGTAGGTTTTCAGGTTGCTTGGATTGTATGCATCTGCACCTTTTGCTGTGTCCAGCTTTTTTGTTTGAGTCTGAGTTGAGTTTTGTGACATTTTTTCTAATGCTTGAAAACTGGCAATTCGTGGACCGTCTATGAAATGAAGGTCTTGCGGCAGGGCGTAGAGCATATTGGTTTCCCGAAATTGATGAGAGTGGAATCTTTCAGGTGACGGGTCCTGAGATACTAATCTCGAGTTCGAGCATTTGTATCAGTGCTGAGCCCATCTGTGACCACGCCGACTCATTCCACATAGAGGTGGTCTGTTCCTAGGCTTGACTCCTCGCTGCTTGGATTTTGGTCAGACTTCCACTGGAGACATTGTAGGGTGTACCTCAAGACTGTTTCGAAAAAAGTTCGACGACTCCGAGGCGTACCCTAAGCAATCGGCGAGCAACCGCAGAGAAGAGCACTCGGACAGCAGACGGGACGAGTCGGAATGAGCCTACGACCGCTGGAGGATGGAGCCAGGTCCGAACTGCCTCTGAGGCCCATGCTCCCACCATGACCTCCGAAAGCTCCGGGCATATCTTGCAAGGTCGAACCTAGGAGCGGAGGTCAAATGGATCCAGAACAACCAGAGTTCACCTTCAGTTTCTGAGCGCTCTTGTTTTTTCTGGAGATTGACGATTTAGTAGAGTCTGGAATTGTGAAGGCTGATTTCTTCGTTCAAGTTTTAGCACCCAGAAATTTGCCTCAGTTTGTACTTCGTGAAGTGCATACTTCTCTTTGTGTCTGTCAAGAATCCTCTCAGAATAACCATCCTAAAGAAACAAAAAAATGGCGGACATCGAATCCATCTTCCAAGAGTATGCAGAGCGCCTCAACCGCCGACTTCCCGGCGAGAACATGGCGAAGTTCTCGTCTCCTGGACACTCATCCTCTCAGCTTTTGAATTTGCCAGCCGGCTTCGAGCACCTAGAAGTGTCAAGTGACGTGAACATCACCATCCTCCACCAAATTGGCGACGCTTTTACAGGAGACTTGGCTGCGATTCTCCTCGTGCGGATATCGCCCAAAAGCGTCTTTCCTGCTTCAACCGCCACTGCGGTAATCGAATTCCGGCGACACGTTTTCTGTCAAGTTCAGGGCACCACTATCTCCAACATCATGATTATAGACGATGTCGATGCGTTACGCAACAGCGAATCGCAGGCGGTCCGGCCCCCAAGCTGGAGCGCTAGAGCTTCCCCTCCAGGGTTCTGTCTCACCGAGGCGTACCGCGCATACTTCAACTGCGTCTCCACCAGGACCATGGAAGAGAACCTGTCGAAATTCACCCATGACCACATTACGTTCAATGAGCATTCTGTAACCCGTGAACAGTACAGAGGGGCCATGGAAGAGTGTCATGATGTCATGGCGGATTGCAAGAACACGCTCGAGAAGCTTATTGTTGACGAGGAGAAACAGCAACTTGCAGCCAGAGTGGTATTTGAGTGGACACCAGTTAAGGCTTGGAATGGAATAGAGCCAACGGGTAAAAGAGTCAAGTTTACGGAGCATGTATTTGTTTGGTTCGACGAGGGGAAAATGCACACAAGTATCACATTGTTGGATATGGAAGCTTTCAAACAGCAGATGAGAGTCTAGTTTACGAATGTTGAACCGGCTATTCGATGTGAATGCTTAGTTGAGGTTCAAACCCTTGATTTTGACAATGATCTGAAGAGCTGTCACTTGGCATTCGCTGTGGAACTTGGATCAGTTGGTCTAAGCACCGGAGGGCGTTTCGGAACCAGCACTGGGCCTTTGCTGCTAAACCGGACAGTCTCGGAGCATCTCAGCGTTCAACGCTGGCCATTGTAAGAGCTAGGGAAGTAGTAAGGTAACAGCGGTAGTTGCCCATCCACTGCGTGGAAGGTTGACTGATCGCTGTCGCACTTGACGAAGCCCATATTTGAGCATAAGGTACTGCGATCATGACCATCACCGGTTCGGTCTTCATCAAACATTAACAACCACTAAATCATGAGCAACATGGAGCATGACCATGCAAATGTCAAGGTCTCAGAGCAAGACCTCGTCGGCAAAGTGGCAATTGTGACGTAGGTTTCTTCATTTTCCCTTATCGTTGAATCGTCAGGTCATTTTCCTTCTGTGGCTTCTGCTAATGTACGGCTTGTGTCCCAGTGGTGCTTCGCGCGGCATTGGACGAGGCATCGCCGTTCACCTCGCAAGCCGTGGGGCGAATATCATCGGAACATGCTCTGTGCTATCGTCCTTGGGCAAAATCGATGATTTGAGAGCCGAGATAGACTCCCTGTACAGAAATTCCAACAAGAGTTCTGTACCACAGATTAAAGGCGTGGTTGCGCCTTTACTGGAGCCTCGAGAGTACTGCAGTGCCATCGTCAATGCCGTCAAAGAGTATGGGAGTTTGAACATACTTGTGCAAAACGCAGCGGTCGTGGAGGTCGCGCCAGTGGGCACGATCACCCAGGACCACATTGATCGCTTACTTACGGCCAATATTGAAGCACCTGTATTTCTCGTGCAAGCACTTCTCCCGTACTTCCGGCCGGAAAGCCGAATCATCAACATCTCTTCCGAAGGAGGCCGAGATCCTTCCCCAGTTGCTCGTACGTAGCGTTGCTTCTTTCTACTCCTACTTCCTAGCCTACTTGCATCTGATGTTTTGGTTCTGATACATCGGGACTACAGTGGTTTACAGCGGTTGCAAGAGCGCTATTGAATCGATGACTCGCGTGTGGGCTGACGCTTGCGGGACGAGGCCTGGGATGGAGAGGACTACAGTGAACTCAGTTGCTGTTGGCAGTAAGTTTTTCGCAGTCACCTTGAACCGAAAATTGCCAAAAGCATTCTCGAAACCTGACCATCTTCCATCAGTTACGCAAACCGAATTGGCCTCACAAATGCCGGACACCCCTGAGATCCGTCAGTTCCTTGAGGCAAAGAAAACCGCATGCAGTGTGGAAAAGAGGTTGGGGAGAGTCGATGACATAGCTGAAATCGTAGGCTTTCTGTCATCTGAGAAGAGTCGATGGGTCAGTGGGAGCGTGATCTGCGCAAATGGCGGTACTGTCAAGGTACTCTAGGTCAATCAATTCCAGGCCAAGGTGTCTGTCCTTACCAGCGCTTCGTTGTCCAGCACCAAATAGCCACGACGCAAAAACATCTCCAGATGGGCTTTTACGAGTTGATTGAGTACCAAGGTCATCGAATCAAACTAGAACTGAACAGATACATCGCTTTGTGTCGGTGTGGGCATCACCTTACTCTAATCAGTACCTATGCCTCGTGGAACTTTGACAACATAGCTGGGCTGAACAGAGATGCGCAAAAACCTGACAGAGCTGACGGGCTGGAGTGACCCAGGTGCCAGGGTAATTAATCATTGCTTGAACACAATTTTCCAGATGATCTATGAAAGTCTATGAAAACAACCTCCAGCCCGAGTGCAAACTAAACGCCAATCCGAAAGAATTTTCAAAACCCCTTGTCATCCTTTGAACGCCGGCCCCAGTCCCGTGCCCATACGAAATTATCACTCAAACGCCACCAACTTGCTCTTGTCGGCTATCCTAGCTGCAAAGACCTCCATGGGAACCGCAGCCAAGACCTCCAGAAGAGCCACAGTTGCCTTCATCTCCCTAGTGATCCAGTTTCTGACCTCGAGCGCAACCAAAGAATCAACACCATAGCGGTACATAGGCCGGCCCGGATCAACTTCCGACACGGGCATCTGCAAAATGTCGGCCACCTTCTTTACCAGAGCCTCTGTGATAATATCCAACGCCTGCTGCTTGCTACTCGCCTCAGATAAGCGTGAAGAAAGAGAAACGGTGTCTGACTTTCCAGCACCCGAAGCACTTGTCGCTAAGCTCGTCACTGCGAGAGGTCCGAAACGCGGGATGCTGAAGTATCCCGGCTGATCGAGGCCGTGTGCTGCCATGATGTCTGCAGTGCCCAAGCCGGTTGTCACTTGAGCTGGCGGCCATGAGGCCGGGTTTTCGCTCTTCTGCCGATTGATGAGGCCCTTGAAGAGGGCATGAAACGCTGGCTCTCGGATGCCCAGGGTCTCCTCCCACAGCAAGAAGTTGCCCGTCGCACCTTGCTCTGCCAGCACACCAACGTCACGCATGATACCCAGGTTGACCGACACGGCCTTGAGCCCCTGTGAACGGCGGTAGTGCGCCAAAGTGTCTTGGTATGTGTTGCCGGCGGAGTACTGTGCCTGACTAGGGTAGCCGTACATACCCGAAATGGACGAGCAGATGATGAAGAACTCTAGGGGGCGTTCATGGTTGAAGTACTCGTGAAGGTTCCATGTACCTTGCACCTTGGGTCTCAACCCAGTCTTCCACCAGTCGTAAGACATCTTCTCGAAGACGATGTCGCGAAGAGCCATAGCCATCTGGACCACACCCTTGACGGGCGGAAGCTCTCGTTCGCATTGATCCAGAGCAGCCTGGAAGGAAGCAGGGTCCGACACATCACCGCGGTAGGCCTTGACGTTGGCGCCCATGTTGGATAGCTCTTTGATCAGAGCCTTGGCATCTGGGGAGCCGTCTCCAGATCTTGAGAGGAAGGCAAGATTACGAGCGCCACAGGCGATGAATTGCCGCGCCAGACTGCGGCCCAGACCACCTAGGCCACCAACAAGAAGGTAAGTGACATCAGCGTTGAGCTTGAGGGAGTTCTTAGCCTTGCGCAGGATTGGCGCCTCTGCGTTATCCGTGAATGCCATAACCATCTTGCCGCGGTGCTTTCCTTGCTGGATGGTGCGGAAGGCGTCTCCCACTTGACCCATGGAATGCACCGTCAGGGGGCTCGGAGCACGAAGCGTACCCATATGGACCAACTTGAAGGCTTCATCGAGGATCTGTCCTAGCGCAGCGGGGTCCTCCTCGTAAAGTGTGAACTGGTTGAAGAATGTGAATGTTGTGCTCTTCCCGAATGGTCTCATGTCAAGCCGAGTGTTGTCGAGAATGTCGCGGAGACCAATCTCGACAAAAGTGCCGAAGGTGGCCAGACACTCCCACGATGTCCGAAGAAGCTCTCCTGAGAGTGAGTTGAGAACGCAGTCAACACCGCGACCATTCGTGACGCGCATCACGCTCTTTGCGAAGCTGGCATCGCGAGAATTGAAAATGTGCTTCTCGGGAATGCCATACGTGTTGACCACTAGCTTCCGCTTGTCTTCGGAGCCAACGGTGACATAGACGACCAAACCCAGGTGAAGAGCAATCTGGACAGCCGCTTGGCCTACACCACCTGCGGCAGCGTGGATCAGAACCGACTTGCCCTTGGTAAGCTTTGCGAGGTTGACAAGGGCATGGTACGCAGTGGTATGGACGACAGGCAATGCAGCGGCCTCCTCGAAGGACATGGTGTCGGGAATATGAGCAACAATGCGATGGTCAACCCGGATCTTCGTAGCGTGTGTGCCGACGCCCAAGAAGCTCACGCGGTCACCGGGTTTGAAGCGGCTTGCTTCACTTCCAGTCTTGACAACGACACCGCTGCCTTCCTGTCCCAAGACAGACATGGGAATGAGTCCCATAGTAGCCATGATGTCTCGGAAGTTGATGCCCGTGGCTTTTACCTTGATTTCCACTTCGTGGTCTTCAAGAGGGACATTCAGTCGGTCGTCCTCAATAAACTGCAGTGTGTCCAACAGACCGGGTCTCTCAATCGAAAGCCTCAGGTCCTCGTCGGCGCCAACAGATGTGACCCGGGTCGAATCGTGCAAGTGATGCTTGATGGAGTCATTCTCCGTTAAGCTCCGATAGATACGGGTCACCTGCAAGACACCATCGCGTTCATGGAACTCATCATCTTTTGTGGTTTCCGAAGACAAGATGCGAGATGCCAGTGCCGGGCCATGTTGCAGGCCCGTCTCTTGACTCAGATGCAGAACCTGGAACCGAGTGCCTGCAATCTCGCTCTCAACACAGCGTGACAAACCATCAATCACGCCGAATGATGGGTTGTCTCCACAGGTGATCCAAAGAAGACGCTGGTATGCTAGAGATAGAGCCTTCACAACTTGGTACTCCTTTTCCGACAGGTCGTCGAGTAGCGGCTTTTCAAGTTCCAACAGAGAAATGAGAACTTCGCTTTCTGCAACATCAGACTTCGGCTCGTCGGTCAAGGTCCTCGTTGACACCGCGTAATTTTGAGCGATAAGAGATTCCTGAAGAGACTTGGAGAATTGCCGAGACTCATTGGACATAGTCGTCGGCTCCATGATTACTGCATGCCGAGCAGGCGTGCCGTTGGCCGCGGGCTTCGCATTCGCGTTCCTAGCACCCCAGTACAGCGCAAGGCGCTCATCTCCCTCAACTCCAAAGACAAAATCATAGCCTCTAGCTTCCAGTCCTCCAGGGGTGGGCTGTTGTTTGGCAGCAATGAGAACCGTTGCCTCTGGCTTGGTGAGGTTGAGAACCCGTTCAAGGAACTGGTCGCGCTTATCAACCTTTTCCACATCGCTGGAGATGATCAAGAGATCGGCCTTCGGAATATTCTCCGGCAAAGGGCTCCCTACTGCGTCGAGTTCAAGTACCTCGCCGACGAAGGCTGTCTTGTCGGTTGACGGGCTCTTGGCGGCGTTGATGACCGCATAGCGAACTTGGCTAGAGCGTACGATGTCCCCAGGTAGGCTAGCGATGACTGAGTTGCGCGCGGCATCGTGGTCCGGGACGAGCTGTAGGAGCGTAGCTGCCGGGTTCAAGTGAAGTGCGATCCGAATGATCTGTATTGTCAGTGTTAGCACCCCAGATGAAGTCTCCGGCATGGGTTACAAGCATACCTCAGCCATTCTATCCTTGGGTTTGATGGCGGAGACCACTCGGCTGATTTCCTGTGGCTCCATAACATCCAAAGCATAGTTCCAGCGAACTTCTGACGTGATGTCGGTCGGATCAACCTCATTATCTTCGCGACCTCCGCCATCATCCATGTTCAGCTCAGCGACTCGGAAGTCCTTCACCACGAGGTAAGGCTTGGAAACATCCTTGTCGAACATGAACATATCCGCAGACAAGTCCGTAAAGCCATATCGCTCCGAAAGACAGAGCCCAGACATGACGTAGCCCACGTCGCCAGGAATATCAGCAGAAATTTCGAGCTCGGTAAAGTGAACAGGCACGAAGGGTCTCGTGAAGTCGAAGCCTCCGTCCTTATCACCTATCCACGTGCTGCTCAGCCAACTTTGGAAGACTGCATCCAAGGTACCAGCGTGAATGAGAAAAGGTCGCTCAATTTGCCCCTTACTGTAGGTCTCCCCGATATCGGTCACTCTGATATTGAATGTGCTCTGACCGTCGCCGACATGGCATCCCTCAATGCCCTGGAAAGCTTCTCCATACTTCCAAGAGGCACTGTTCATGTGGTTGTAGAAGTTCTCTTTGGCGTACTCGAGATTCGACTCCTTGTGAACACGATGATATTCCGCTACTCTCGAGGATGCGATAATAGCATCCTCCTCTGCCATCTGCGGAGTTGTGTCTTCATGGTAATCGATGGTCATCAGCCCACGGCAGTTGTCCCTCAGCTGGTCACCTCCGACGCATGAAGACATGGTAAACTCCCACCATGCTGCAGGGGTTGATCCAAGCGTGGACTGGAGGTAGGGCCTCATGTGAACAATGACTTCTGTTGCAACTCCTTCCGGGAGAGCCATGGCAGCGAAGAGAGACACATCGCGTAGACGGAAAGCTCGAGCAGTCTTTCCCGGTGCAACAAGCTGTTGACTAGCTTCAAGAATGATACTGGTCATGCCAGCACCAGGGAGAAGCACGGTGCTGCCGACCATGTGCCCACGAAGCCAAGGCTCGTCTTCAAGTCGAAGGAAACTGCGCCATACCTTCTGCGTCTCATCCATCATGGGTACAGGCGCTCCCAGCAGACTTCGAGTGGGGAACTTCTGTGCCAAAAGTTCCTTTGCAATGCGCGAGTCGCAGCGGAAAACCTTCGAGTGATTCCAGGGATACGGCGGCAAGTTGGTGAGAAGCTGGCAGTGAGAATCTCCATTAACCTTCTGGAGTTCCAGAGAGACACCTTCAGCGAAAAGCTCGGAAGCCAGCTGCAAACT